ATTAAAATGTAAAAGCTGGAAAGAGCATTAATAATGAGGAAAAAAGTGCATAAAATCAAAACTTTCCTTGATTTCATCACAGCTGAGATCACAGAGCAGGACTGCAGACTTAAAATCCAACAGAGTCAAACCCACCCTCATCCCCACCCTCACTCTGGTCTCTGCTATGGCAGGGCATGAGAGGAAAGGCAAGCAAGGAAGAAAAAAATTTAGGGCTAACATGACAATATAAACCCCCTAGGAGATACAGACACATAAGGGAGTTCACACTCAATTTGCAGGCCCTTTTCCACACTTCCACCAGCGCTCCCGGGAAAGACTGAAGCAGGGCTGGAGACAGACAGACTCCCCAGAGCATACAGGCAGGAGGAAAAGGTTTAAGTAAATATCCATTGTCTAAAGAGAGAAAGAAAAAAACACAAGAATTTTCACCTTTGGAGGCAGGACAGGAAAGAATCCTGAGCCCAGTATCTATATCAATATAGCCAGGAATGACCAGGAAACAGCCCCTCAGGAGCTGCAACAGATAGAAAGAGTTGGGAAGAGGAACAATAATGCTGAAAAACCCTCTCCGCAAGATATAGCCTCAACAGGCATACTCAACACTAAGGCTAGGTTTGGACCACAGAGAATGCCTCCGGCCTACCATCAACCTAGCAAGCACTGAGTAATAGGCAACAACAGTCTACTGCTAGGAGAGGAGCAAGAGTATGGAGAGTAAGACATGCACCTCCCCAGGGAAAGCAAAAAACTGAGCACGGAACAGAACACTGAGAAAAACTCTCCAGCAACACAGCCCCCATCCAAAGCCCAAAGTAATAGTTGGTGGTAACCAGAGCAACTACAAGACCAAAATCTTGTCAATCCCTACCTAGATTGACTCAACACTCTTGGCAAATCAAAGGCATGACCATTTTTTGGCATAAAAACTATTTCTTCAGTCTCTATTATTCTATATAAGATATTTGAAATTCAATAAAATATTTTTGAGATACACAAAGCAATAAAAAAGAACCAGACTCAGATGACCCAGTGATCTTTTTTTTTTTTTAAATCACAATCTGCAACTGGTAAGTAGGGAATAGATGCTGTACATACATGATAGATTGGGAAGATCAAAAATGACAGAAGAAGGAAATAAGCAAGCATGTGCATTTCTACCCTGTCTCAGATCCTGACAAAAAAAATAGCAATAAAAAACTATTTTTAGCATATTATTAAAGCCTGTACATTAAAACATAAAAGACTATAACTAAAATTTATGAACACTCTGATTCTCATTTAGCTACTGAGTAATGAGTAACTCATTAGCAAATAAGAAAAAATTAATCTGCTTATAAATTTTTGAAGCTTTTTAAAATACGCATATTTCTTGTGTTATGTTTATTAGTTTGGTAAAAAGTGCTTTTACAATTGTACTGGAGTAAAATTTGGGAAAGGCTGAAAATGAAAAATTTCTATAAGACAAATACTTGAAGATAAAATACTCTCAAAATAATTAATATCCCTAAAAACCAAATGCTCACAGAATGATAAACAGCCCAAAAGCAAAATGGGCAAAAGACATAAACTAGAAATACCCTCAAGAAATACAAATAAAAACTGATGATATCTAAGGTTGTTAGGAATGTTGAAAACTGGGCACTCTTCACTCACTGCTGTGTGGGAATGTAAACTGGTACAACAAGTACTCCTTCAACTCCTCAAAAACAATAGAATTTAGGCACTATTCACACTCAAAGAAAGTCTCCTATGTCTGCTAGCTCCCTATTCTTTCTATATTCAAGCCATATTGGGCTGTATTTATATCCACTGTCTTGCCTCTGCGCCACTGAAATACCTGTTTCCCAATTCCCCTGCAAAATTCTGTCTTTCAAAACCCAGCTCAAACATTTCTTGCCTACTCTTCCCCACGTAAAATTAATCGACCTTTTATGTGTAATCTCACAGCACTTGGGATTCCTCTAATACAAGAGTTAAAAACATTAAACTGAAGTTACATCATAGATCTGTGCTAATTTATAATAACTCTGTGCTAAAGAGTTCCACTTATCAACAACAAAAATAATGGGACATGAACAGGAAATTCAAAGTAAAGAAAAATTAAATGCTCTTAAACATATGAAGAGATACACAACTTCATTAATAATAAAAGAAATATCAATTAAAACCATAACAACATTTATTATCTATCAAACTGACAATGAGCAAAAATATTTGACTATACTAAACATGGGAAAATAGGCATTCTAATAAAACTTACTGCTAAGGACATAAACTAGCAAAATATCTATGAAGACAATTACCTATCAAAATTATAAATGCACATACCTTTGACCCATAATTCTATTTTGCATATTTTAAAGCTAATACTATAAATACTTTCATTATATTTGTTAAGATATATGATTGTACATGATTATTCACTTCAGGATCCTTTGCAGTGGCAAAAGATTAAAAAGATAAACATGTATCAGTATGGGAATAGTTATACAAATTATGGTACATTTGGATAATTAAAAATTTTACAGTTAAAATGACTAGATAGCTCCAAATGAAACTATTTCCAAGCTATATTTTTAAATGGAAGACGCAAAACTAAGATGTACTAAATATTTGTATAAATGTATAGTACACTACCACTTATACAAAAAGCAATATAATCACATACAAAAAATAATATAGTCATATACTTATTAAAAAAGGGGATCATCACAACTGAATGGCTAAAGGACAGAGGTAGGAAGACTGACCTACTTTTCACTACATAACCTTCATACTTTTTTAACTGCTTACCATGAATACATTATCTACTCACAGAATTAACTATTTTGTTTTAAATAATTTAAACAACAAAAAACAATTATTTATGTTGCTCTCAATTCATTATGAAATCTTTAAGGGCAAAGAACTGAACATGTGCCTCATCATCTTCATATCACCAACATGATATCTTGCACAGTGCCTAACATAGAAATGAGAAATGCTTATCAAAGTATGCTAAAGTGACTAGAGCCATAGCACATGCCTATAATCTCCACTACTTGGGAGGCTGAGGAAGAAGGATCACATGTTCAAAACCAGACCTGGCAACTTAGAGGTACCCTGTCTCAGAAATAAAAAGTAAAAAGAACTAAGGAGATAGCTTAGTAATAAAACACCCCTCAGTTCAATTCCTGGTACCACAAAAAGGATAAAGGGGGAGGGATAAAAGAGGGAGAGGGAAAGGGTTAGGGAAAAAGAGAGGGAGAAGGAGAGAGAAAAACAGACAGAGAGACAGAGAAAGAAACTACCTTGGCAAAGATAACCAGATACTCAATTAATTTTAAAGAAACAAAAAACATATTAAACAACTGGGAATTTACAGAATGTTTATTATGTGTTAGAACACTATACAATGCACACTATACCTATTCATTTAATCTTCATTATAGCTCTATGAAGTGCAGATTTTATATAAGCATTTTGCAAATGAAGGAATGGAAGGCCAACAAAGATCAAGTAATGTGTCCAGGGCTATCTGGCTTGATTGTGCTAGAGGAAAGTCACCAAAACTTTCCAAATTTTAGTTTTCATTTTGGGTATCCCATAATCTAAGGATTGTATTCCAGCAAATTTTGTCAAAAAGTTTGTCAAAAAGCTTTTTTTGTCAAAAATTTTGTAGATTGAACTCTATTTGCTTTTCAGAGGATACTCTCCAAAAACCACTGATTTAATTATTCCATACTAGCTATGAAGAGCAATAGCTCTGGAGTCAAACAATTTGGGCTGAACACCTTCCTCTAGCACATTCAAGCCGGATAACCCTGGGCATATTATTTGATCTTTGTTGGGCTTCCATTCCTTCATTTGTAAAATGCTTATATGAAATCTGCATTTCATAGAGCTATTATGAAGATTAAATGAATAGGTATAGTGTACATTGTATAGTGTTCTAACATAGTAAGCATTTGGTAAATTTTAATTATTGATAGTCTACATCTTCTTATAATTATCTCTGAGCCACTTCTTCAGCTTCAAAAATGGTGACATTATACAGGGAGACATTCAGAAAAAAGCTAACTACAACTATCTGTTACTATCTGTTTCTATACTTCATTAATATCAGTGCTACTTGGAGAGAAAAAGAATTAGTGCCATGTCCATCAACCAGATGGTACAAGACTAAAGCCTGGAAGTTTAACCCAGACCTGCCTTTCAGTCCCTTACCTCAGTAGGGAACAAAGCAATAATGCCATCAGGCTATCATACCATCGTTGAATTTAACCAGTCAATGGCAGTATGAATGGAGCAAAGGACTAAATTCTAATTCCAATATAAAACCAGTTCTTGCTTTTAGAAATCACAAGTTGGGGGGAAAAATTCATTCTTTGGGTTTCTACATGTTCAAATTCTACATAAAAAAAGGTATATTTATATTTTAATACATATATTATGGAAATCTGAAATCCCACTATAAAATAATGCCAGTAATCCTATAACACCTGCTAATAAAACATTCCTAAGAAGAAATAATTTAAAGAGCAGAAATAAAAACATATACACACAGAGTATACCTTAATTAAAATTCATTAACTGGAACAGTGGGTTGTGTTCTAAAACAGCCATGAAAGCATATGGAAAAGGCTTTCTGGAACTAAATTTCTTGGGTTCAAGTCATTAGCACACATAGTAACTCTGACCTTGAGGTAGTTACATAATCTATCAGTGCTTTGATTTTCTTCTCCATAAAAAAAGCATAATAACACTAGCTTTCTCATAGGATTGCTATGGGGATTAAATTTGTTACTGAATGTCAGTGTTCAATAAATGTTAAGTATTACTGTAATAAGTCTTATCTTTCATTCATTATTATAAGGTCAAAGAAGCAGAGATGATAAACTTTTACAACCGTATGTCCCTGTGAATCTTTATGGAACTAAGCAAGTTTTTTTTTTTTTTCTTTTTAATCAAACTTTTAAATAATAGTAAATGAAACAGTAATTACAAAAAATACTTACTTTGTAGCAGCAGCAGCAAAATGTCTGTTGGGCACTTGAATGTTTAAAGAACAAGGATAAAGAGACATCTGATAAATCATCTTGGAAAGATGACATCTCTGATGACATATCAAGACTTGAAAAGAAAAAACAAAAATATAACATTAATCATTATATTAAAATTCTTTACATTATAAAGATTAGCTTTTCCAAATCATTCAATATTTTGTGATCTTTAACCATTCTACAAAAGTCTAACAATAGAAACCACATTTCTAGAAACTAGATGAACACATTTTGGGGGGTAGTACTGGGGATTGAACAACTGAGGGGCACTTGCCCACTGAGCTGCATCCCCGGCCCTACTTTGTATTTTATTTAGAGACAGGGTCTCACTGAGTTGCTTAGTCCCTTGCTTTTGCTGAGGGTGGCTTTGAACTCACAATCTTCCTGTCTCAGCCTCCCAGCTGCTGGGATTACAGGCATTCACCACCGTGCGTGGCTAACCACATTTTTTATTCAAACAATTTTGTTATTTATTTTTAACTTAATCTGGTTCAGGCTCAACAAAATATGTAGGCTCTATTTTTAGGGAGTAAGTATTAAGTATCCCTGAATTTTTAAATAATTTACATTCATTCATTTCTTAATAGATAATGGATTCACAGAGTTGTCCTTCTGAAGATCAGAACAAAGTGGGTGACGTGCCCTAGCAGAGATCAATATTTGTAAAGTTATAGAAATCAAAACACTTTAGTAGTGGCACTAGTATAGAAAGGCAAATTAATAAAGCAACAAATAGTTCAGCCATAGATACATGCATATATGGATACTTGAAATAAAAGCGATGTTATTGCAAATCTCTGTACATTGAATTGAATCTAATAAGTTGTGCAGAGATAATGATTACCCATAAGGAAACAAGTATATTTAGATGCTACCACAATACACACACACACACACAAATCAAATCTAGATGGATAAAAGACTTACATAAATGCCAAAACTTAAAAAGACTTTCAAAATATAGAAAAATAACTTTATGAACTTTGGGGAAGAAATTATTTCACAAAAAAAAGCACTAAAATATGGCTGCATTAGTGTGAAGAGCTTGTTTATTAAATATTCTTTTTAAAAAAGTGAAAAGATGGGCTGGGGTTGTGGCTCAATGGTAAAGCACTTGCTTAGCATGCATGAGGCACTGGGTTCTATCCCCAGCCCCACATTTAAAAAAAAAAAAAAAAAAAAACTAAAAAAAAAAAAAAAAGGTATTATATCCATCTACAACTAAAATTATATTTTTAAAAAAGTGAAAAGTTAAGTCAGATATATGGGCAAATGCATAATTAACAAAAGATTAATATTTTAACAATAAAAGAAAATTTAATAATATATGATCAACTGAATTGAGAAATGAACAAAACCAAGACTTCTAATTGAAAAGGAAACACAAATAATGCATAAATACATTAAAAATGCACAACCACATTAGTAACCAAGTAAATAAAAATTTAAAACCTAATAAATATCTTATATCAGTGTTACTTAGTGGTGATCAGGAAGCCTGTTATAGTTTGCAACTAAATTAAGATTACACCAACATATAAAACATTTATTTATTTATAAAACATAATTATTTAGTGTATTTGACAATATTTTTTCCACAAAATTTTCTCAAAGGAGGAAATTTTGATCTCATTGTGGACAGGTAAACAGTTTATGATCAGATAATAGATAATATAAGTAGCAACATTTTACATACTCAGATTGACAAAGCTTTAACAAAAAGTCACTGACAATATCAAGCAGGGATAAATTTTAGACAATGAAGATGTGTAATTGGAATACCACTTTGGAAAACAATATAGCACGACCCAATGACACTGAGCATGCACATCCCAATGATGCAACAATTCCACTTCTAAGCATGTCCCTTGCATCTGTGTACCAAGAGACATGAACAAGGATGATCATATCATTATTTGTAATAGCAAAACTACAGAAAAGAACTCAAGCAACTACAATAGGATGGATAAATACATTGTGGTATATTTCTATAATAGCCATAGAACTGTAAAAATAAACGAACCGTGCTACATAGTTGAGTTTCACAAACATAATGTTGAGCCAAAAAAAGCAAGTGGCAAAACCACTATTCAGTAGGCACAATTTAATCCCCAGTCATGAAAAACAAAAATTAAAATTTCCAACAGAAACTGCTACAGATCTACCAAACTGCTACAGACTAAAAGAAACCAAGTTACAAAAAAAAAAAAAAAAAACACTATTTAAGTAGGACTACTATACCATGATGTCTGTATTATTTTAAGAGTCTTTCTGTATTATCCACTTACCCTTAGCAGATAACCTCATAGACCTCAGAGCTTCCTCAACTACATAAGAACTTAACCTGCATCTGTACTCATTCTCCAAAGTCTTGCCCACTACTACCTATGTTGGTAACAAAATGGAAACTAATTGGCCTCCTTTGTTACCTTACTCTTTTAATTGATACTGAATGGTTACATTGCACAGAAATGAGTGGTAAACTGCCTTCTCACCCAACTCTCATCTTCACCCTCTAGGAGATCTTATCCATCCTTCTAGTGTTTGCTTTCCTTTACAACCCCATTTCAACCAGGCCACCTGGATTACTACAAACTACAAACTCTTCCATTATTCTACTTTTGGCCCTCTCTGTTTCTTTTCCACCTGTTATTAGTAAAAAGGATCATTTTTTAAAGGACATCTGTCTCCATGTCCTTAAATCACTTGTATAGCACAACCTGGCTCTTTGAACAGAGTAAATTCTTACCAACAGAGTAAATTCTTACCAACATACTCTATGAGTTACTTCTAACCTATCAAACACCAAACTGCTACAGACTAAAAGAAACCAAGTTACAAAAACAAAAAACAAAAACAAAAACACCATTCCTTCATGCTTACCATGCTTCAAATCACTCACCTCCTTTCAGTTACCTGAACAGTTACTCTGTTCTTTACCACCTTAGGATTTTCATACAAAATCTTTCTTCCCTCTGTGACATTCTTCCCTACCACTTTCCCTTCATATGATGAATTTCACAGTAATCTAGTCATGTTTCAGATATTCCACTTAAACATTACTTCTTCAGAACAGTCTCCCTGAAGACTCAGAATAGATTAGGTCTCTCATATACACTTTTTAAAAAATTTTTTTTAGTTGTCAATGCCTCGTACATGCTAGGCAAATGCTCTATCATTGAGCTACAACTCCTACCCTATATTTCTATAGCATTTTGTACTTTTCTTTCTCAACACATAGGATATTTGTATTAATAGTTGTCCAATTAATAGTTGCTCCTTAATAGATGGTAAATACTATCAATAAGAAGCAAATGTGTATAGCTTGTTCACCACTGTACCCCTAACCACCTAGCTCAGTGTTTGACAAGTGGAGACTCAATAAACAGCTGCTAAATGAATGAACAAATTAAAGCAAAACCTGGATTCAAACTATTTTAAATATTACCTATTACACCACACAAAGAGAGCGCCTTGTGTGTGTGTACACACACATATGTGTTCAGAAAGTTTTGCCAGGAACAATAGCAAACACCTATAATCCCAGTTCCTCAGAAGACTGAGGCAGGAGAATCAAAAGTTCAATGCCAGCATGGGCAATTTAGGAAGACCCTGTGTGAAAATTAAAAAGTAAAAAAAAAAAAAAAAAAAAAAGACTGGGGATGTAGCTAGGAGGTGGAACACCTGCCTAGCATGCACAAGGCCCAGGATTCAATCTATAGTACCACAAAAAAATTAATAAATAAAAATTAAGTTTTATTGTAACACAGCTAGTTCATTTATTAACATTATTGTCTGTGGCTTCTTTTGTGCTACAATGACAGAGATGGGTACCTGCAAGAGACAGATGGCTTGTAAACCTAAAGCATTTACTATTCATCTCTTTACAGAAAATGTTTTCTGGTCCCTGTTATTTAAAAAAAAAAAAACCCTCTAGTACCAGAAGTAGGTAGAGACAATGCTTGTGTAGGGCATTAAGCAAGACACCTATCAGTAAGGTAAGGAAATGCTCCTGCCAGAATTCCAGCCTAGAATATTTTATTTTGTCCAGGTGCTCTTCAATAGATGAATGTGATGTATATATATACAAAATGGAGTTTTATTCAGCCATAAAAAAGAATGAAATTATGGCCAGTAAGTGGATAGAAATGGAAAGCATCATGCTAAGTGAAATGAGTCAGATTCAGAAAAATCAAGCATTCAATGTTTTCTCTCATATGCAAAAGCTAGAACAAAGTGTGGGGGAGTGGGAGGGATCATATATCATAAGCATAGAGAGAAAACCAGTGGATAAGAAGGAAACTGAAGGGGAGGGAAAAGGGATGGGAAAGAAGAGGAAATGTAAAATGAATTTAACAAAATTATGCTATGAGCAAGTATACATATGCCACAGTGAATTCTGCCTTTATGTATACCTACAAAGCACCAATTAAAAATAAACAAAAGGAAAACCTGTAAAGGAAGAGGAATAGGCAGGAGGAAGAGAAGGAAAGAGGAGGCACAAGGGACTGAAATGGAGCCAATTAAATCTCATACATGTATGATTAAGTCAAAATTAGCACAACTATTATATATAACTATAATGTACTATTAAAAGCATAAAAAAATACTGTGCTTTAGAATATTGTCCATAGACCAAAGAGCAACCAGAAATTACAATATATCCCAATTCCCTCATAATTGTGCTTTTCAAAATGTCATATGATTGAATGTCAAACCTATCTGTGTGAAAATCCAGACTCTATTAACTGCAGCATTATTATGGTGAATAACTTGTATTAGGAATGAGTTTTTCAGCCTTAAAGATGGGTATTTGTAAAAATTGCATAATTCTTTGGTCATGTCTGTGTACCCCACTCAGTTGCATTTCTGTGCATTTGCTTAAGTACTTTCCAGTTCATCAGGCAGTTTGGATGAGGTTGTTTTAAAATACAACTGTTTGTATTTTAAAGGCTATGAACAAACAGGCACTGCAAGCAGAGAAAGCAGACTTTTAGAAGAAAAAACAAGTTTGCTACATGAACCACAGGGCACAATGCAAGGTATATATCAAAGCTGTTCTCACTTGAAGGGGGGACATTTTTTCTTGATGATCCAGGATTCATTCATTCACTAGCTCAACAATAAATGTACCAACAAAATATGTGCTAACACTGCCTTAAGCATTTAGGATACATTCATAAACAAAACACAAAAATCCTATTCTCAAAGTGCTTATGTTCTACTGGGAGGGAATACCAATAAATATAATATGGGGGATGGAGGGACTGCAGGATAAGATATCAAGTCAGAGGGAAAGTGGTTTGCGACTTTTAAGTGCTTAAGATTGGCCTTATTTAAAAAGGTGACATTGAGCAAAGATTGGAAAGAAGAAAGTGAACAGCACTAATACCTAGAAATATATTCCAGGTCAACCATCCCAAGGCAGAAATTCTTGGTGTGTTTATGGAACCATAGGAGTGAAGTGTGGAGAGGTTAATTAGAGAAGAAGTCAGAGAAGTTAAGCTGGGGATTAGGGGAAGAGGCAGGCACTAGATGATGTGGAAAACTATAGGCTAGTGCTGTTTAACAGAATTTGAGCCACATGTAATTTTAATTTTTTCTAATAACCACAATAAAAAAAAGAATAAAAACAGTGATATTAACAAATATATTTTGCTATAGCTAACCTCCCATAATATTATCATTTCATTATCAGTATTTAAAAATTAAGATATCTTACACTTTTTGTACTAAGCCTCCAAAATCTAATGAATATTTCTGCATGTTCTCACTTATATTCAGAAACTAGAAAAAGTTGATCTCACACAAGTAGAGAGAAGAATAGGGATTAACAGAGGCTGGGAAGGAGAGGGAAATGGAAAGAAGATGATAAATATGATCAAGGACCTAGTTGAACAGAAGGAATCATTTCAAATATTCTATAGCACAACAGGGCAATTATAGTTGGCAACAATTAACTGTATACCTCAAAATAACAAGTATAGGTGCAACCACTCTGGAAAGTAGTATGGAGATTTCTTAGAAAACTTGGAATGGAACCACCATTTGAACCAGCTATCCCACTCCTGGGTCTATATCCAAAGGACTTAAATCAACATACTAAACATCAATGTTTATAGCAGCTCAACTCAAAATAGCTAAACTGAGAGCAACCTAGATGCCCTTCAATAGATGAATGAATAAAGAAACTGTGTTATATATACACAATGGAACATTACTCGGAGAATAAAATTATGGCATTTGCAGGTAAATGAATGAAGTCATGCTAAGCGGAGTAAGCCAATCCCCAAAAAACAAAGGCCAAATGTTCCTCCGATAAGCAGATGCTGATCCATGATGGGGGAGGGCATGGGAAAAATGGAGGAACTTTGGGCAAAGGAGAGGGAGGGGCAAAGAAGGGGTATGGGGACAGGAAAGATGGTAGAATGTGATGGACATTATTACCCTAGGTTCATGTATGGCTGCACATACAGTTCGACATTACATTGCGTACAATCAGAGAAATGAAAAGTTGTGCTGCAATTGTGTACAATGAATCAAAATGCATTCTGCTGTCATATATACCTAATTAAAATAAATTTTAAAAAAGATTAATAGCATCAGGCAGTGATATTTTTGTTTTAAGTAAACAAGAAATCAAGATACAGAGTTAAAAGGAAATTAAGATACACAGTTTATTTCATGTATTAAATTATTGATAGGTACTCTTCTAGAATTCAAACCTCTTGACTGAGAAAAAACAATTTTATTGGTCCTTTTTTTTGTACTATACTTGAATTTATTTCAAGAAAAGAGGATGGGGAGAGAAAGAGGAATCAGTCCACTAATATAAGAAGGAATGACAGGTGAAATAGAAAAAAAAAAAAATTAAGAGAAAGGTATCCAGGAAGCTAAGAGAAGAAAATGTGGCAAGAAAAGAATAATAACCTTTGCTTCTCCTTTTGATTTCTTTGGTTTTGTCTAATATCATGTGATTGCTGTCATACAGGGAAGATAACGCCACCAATCTCCTTTCAGTAATAATATACATTTTGGTTTGCTTACTTAGTAGTGGTCTGAGTCTACTGTGACCTCTTGCTACCCATGCTATCCCTAACTTTTGAACAACTATTCCAAGTAAAGGATGCTCATGATGACACAGCTTTCTTGTAAGCTCAAAGAGAAAACTGTAATGTTGTGTTTCAAAAAGCAGAGAGCAGGGCTGGGAGGTGTGGCTCAGTGGTACTGCCCTTACCTAGCGCTGGTGAGGTCCTGGGTTCAATCGCCAGCACTGCAGAAAATCACTGGTTTAGAAGTGCAAGCTTCAGTTCCTCCCCTACCACTTATTGGTTATATAAATCTGGCCACATACCAACAACCCAACAAAATCATCTCCCCCTTTCTATAAAATTAAGGGATAGGGTATGCTCGCTGTTGTCTCCGCCTAAAGACCCACCTTAATTGAATATACAGCCGTCATTCCAGCTAACAAATTGGACTTTATTCACTGCTGAAAAGAGTTGCTGAAATACCTTCCGAATGATATACGTTGGTCCAAATTAGATAATGTTTAAAAACTGTAATCACTTGAAACGATGTATCTAGACAGCAACAACAAGCACTCTGAAAACCGTTAACGCTTAAGGATGGAGGTCACTTAAGTGTACCACCAGTCTAAGGAGAACTCACTTCTTCACTTATCAAACTCCACCTACCCACTCCCCAGTCCACACACTGGAGATAGAACCCTGCCTTCCCCGCTGGTGGTTGTAGGGACTTCAATGATACATTCCCCCGCCAATCCGCCCTCAAGGTGACTGGCTTCAGAAAGGAATGAAACCTCCAATAAGGCTGCTTTTAAGTAGTGATGATCCTTCAAAGAACCTAGAGCCCAGAAAGTGCAAGAGGCGTGTCGAGTTCCTATACCTGATCCGTGCTTCGGGGACTCTGGCTTGCATTCCGCTGTAACCCAAGACTCAATGAACTATTTTCTCCCTAAGACACCCCACGCCTTACCTCTCCCGAGGCACCTTACGGCCGCCGCCATGTTGACCACTCCGGATTGTGTTGATGAAATTGGTCCTACAATTAAACTGGGGAGAATGAAAAAAGAGTTCCGTTCCGGAATTGGCGAGGAGGGAAGCGGTTAGAAGGAACAAGAGGAACAGGGCGGAGACCAAAACAGGCTTTTCTGCCGGCGTGGCGGTGTTGCTGTCACTCCTCGGTACTGCCTAGGACCCTCCGTTTAGAGGTTCCGGTACGATGGCTTAACCACCTTCAGGAAAATACGATCTTGTTAGAGATGCTGTAATTACTTTATTTTGTTCGGTTTTTTAAAATTTTTTATCCTACCTATATACAATAATTTTAATAGATCGTGAGGAAACCTAGGACCCAGCCTAAAATATTTTAAAGCTGAAGATCCCACCAGTTTCCTCAGCCACATTTCCAGCCTTGTTAAGAATGTCTTTAACCTGCCCGGCTGGGCCGAGGAGGTAGTTCCGAGGGAGACGCCGGCCTAGCAGGCGCGAGGCCCTGGGTCCGGCCCCAGCAGCAGAAATAAAAAAACAGATTCCGCCCGGCTTTTCGCCAACACCCAAGAGGAGGGAGATCCCACTCACTAACAAACTTCCTTTTTAGCTCAGCGCAGAATCAGCCGTAATAGTTTTATGTTGATCTAACACTCGGTTTTACATCCCTCCCTTCCCAGCCCTGCGAGCTGTGCCATCAGGATCAATTGAATAATAATACAGCATTTGACATTTATGTAACGCGTGCAGTTTTAAAATGGCAGATCTGAGACCTACGCTCAGGTTAATTCTAACCAAAAACAAGAAAACTAAATGTCATTTCCATTACGTCACAGCTGTCCGTGTGGTTTATCAAAAACAAATCTAATCACTGATTATATCACTTCCCAGTTTTAAATAAAACCCTCCAGTGACTGGCTATCCAAAGGCCTCTGCGTATCCCCTGTTCACCCCCAACCTAGGTCACACACACACACACACACACACACACACACGGGGTTTCTCACCTCCATGACTTTTTTCATTTTGTCCTTTTCGCTTGAAATATATTGTTCCACATTATCAGGTAACAGTATCAGGTTTTTTTGTTGTTGTTTTTGTTTTTCTTTTTCTTTTTAAGATTTCAGGTCAGACTTTCCTCATTGACGAAGGCTCCCTCCTGACTTCGGAGAGGGAATTATGGCCACCTCTTCCTGGTTTTATATAGTTACATCTAGTTTTGTTTGTTTCAAGCAATTTCAGAATATGATTTATATACCATAAAATTCACCAATATAAATTGTACCCTTCAATTTTTTTTTTTTTTTTAGTAAATTAGAGAATTGCACAACCATCCCAATGTATGCCACTGAGCACTTAGTGGCAGAAATCTTGTCATTCATTTTTGTAACCTTAGCACCTTTCATATAATACCAGACACAGGAGGCCCTCAATAAATGTTTGTTGAATAAGTAAATGTTTGTATGCATGAATTAGTGACTCCATTAGAAGGACAAGCCTGAAAACTTAACTTGCTTCCATGAAGTTGTTTCTGAAGATGGGCTATAATCAAAGTAGGAATTTCCAAGTGTTTTATTTTATGTTTATATAGATTACTCAGCAATATGAAGAATACGGTTTCTAATTTATTGCCTTTTCTTGTGAACAGCTAAGCAGTTACTTCAAAGATTTCACAACTATTTCTGATTGTTATTTTTCAAAAAATTTAACTGGGAATGGTGGCCTGTGCCTGTAATCTCAGCAACTCAGGAGACTGAGACAGAAGGATCACAAGTTTGAAGCCAGCCTGGGCAACTTAAACCTTGTCTCAAAAAACAAAAAGGAACATCACACTTCACAATACCTAAACTGTGGAACCAGCCTACATGTCCATCAGCAGATAAACTGATGAATAAAATGTGGTATATATACACAATGAAATTTTATTCAGCCATAAAGAAAAATGAAATTATGTCATTTGCAGGAAAATGGATGAAACTAGAGACTATTATGTTAAGCGAATAAGCCAAACTCAGAAGGTCAAGAGTTGTATGTTTTCTCTCATACGTTGTAGCTAGAGAGGGAAATGGAAAAGAAACATGGGGGCAAGGTGGGGATCTCATGAAAATCAAAGGGAGAACAGTAGAGAAAAGGAACTAGAAGATGGGAGGCAAAGAGGGAGGAGATAAGTGCTATGGAGTGATATTTGCCAAATTATATTTTTATGTGCATGCATAAATATGTAACAACAAATCCTATCAGTATGTACAACCATAATGCACCAATAAAAAATGTGGAAAGAGAAAAAACAAAACAAAAATTTGAATTTCATATAAACAACAAATAATTTTGTAGTATATGTCCCAAATATTACATGAGACATACTAAAAAGTTAGTTGTTGTTTGGATGAAATTTAAATTAACTGAGTCCCACCTTTTTGTTTGCTTAATCTGGGCATCATACATTGGACATCTTCTTGGGCACTAACCCTGCCAGCCACTCTGGTACTCCCCAGAGAAAGTGATGTGATGACAGTGAGATCCCTTTTCAGAAAAGTGATCTGATGACAATGGGAGATGGCATGTTGGTGGCAGTGAGAGAAATGAATAAAATATTTCATACTTGTTTTCAGGACCTGTCCCTTAAAGTCTTGGAATTCTCCAATTTCTTGATCTGGTCTTAAGATCAAAGACAGGCCTTACAGTTCTCTTTGGTAGGGCATATGTACTCTTTTAGATTAACCTTCTGGAACAATTTCTTCAGAGAGGGATATATCAGAAAGTATAGAAAATGTTATTAGGCTGATATAGTTTTTCTTCAGTTTTCATTGATTGTTATATTTAAATAAGTCACTCCTTCTTTTAACTATTAATTAACTATTAATACTACATTCCACATATTGATGAATGTTTCCCAAATTCTAGCTTCTGTTCTAAACATTTCACACAAGATACTTAAGGCCTATTGGTTATCTGTGTTTTATGAAGGAGGAAATTGAGAATCAGAGAAGATGACAAACTTTCCCAGGGTCACATCACTAATGAATGAGAGAAACAAGCTGCAACCCAAGCCTTCTTACTACAGAGTCTTTAGAATAAAAATCTTAAAAAATAAAGAGTACTCATGATGTGGCTCAGTCATAAAGAGCCCCTGGGTTCAATCTCCAGTTACACACACACACACACACACACACACACACACACTCAAAGAATTTGAATCTACCCTTATAACTTTCTTCCTTCTTGCTGTCCTTTCCTCCTGTTCTGTCTTTTTTTTTACACAAACGTGATCATCTGCCATGTTTCAAGCAGCATAAGTGGCTATGCATTGATGTGGTGAAAAAAGCCGACAGTCATCTGTCTTGTGATTCTTAAAATTTAATTAAATTTGAGGATGTATGCAAGTTCACCTAGACCATTTCAGACAAAGTAAACACCCAGATTAGGGATGCTGGTTCTTTGACTATACACGTCTTCTCTTTCTACAACTTAGGTCAGTTGGCCCTCATCTATAGACCTCTTTATGTCTCCTAACAGGAGAATTTAAACCTTTGGTTCTGGAACTCACAGTAGTATGTAGTAGTCCGATCATTAAAGCAATGTCCTGGATAAGTACAGCTTAACTGCCTTCTTTGGACACTAGAACTTGGCAGCATTAGTCAAGTGAGGTATGGAGTCCAGCTGCTTATATAAAACAATTCACAAGGAAATTCTTTAGCTTAAAGCTTTATAAAAACCACAGAAGGACTTAATTTTTAAAAACACAAAAATTCATACTCTGAAATGAGAACTCTAAGCCTCTAAATATTTGATACATAATGAAATTTTCCTCACTGAAGAGAGTCAGTGGAGCATTTTGTTTAAGTGGTTGTGCTCTGAAGCCAAACAACCTAGGCTTGAATCTCAGTATCATCACTTACTAGTTGTATGAGGACCTCAGTTTCTTTATTTGTGATATGGAGCTAATAATGAGATAACTACCAAGTTACTTACTTCAGTATCTGGCACACAGTAAAGAACTGGTGAGATTTCTTAACCAGAAAAACAAAATAAACTATCTGCTTATTTATGAATATGATCCCATACATGTGGGATGTCATTTTCTTCATATTAGAACTTTTATTAGTGATTGCAGAAAGTCTCCAGGCTGTATTTATTCACTTCCTCAAAGTTTACTTTAAAATGCAACTTTTTCCAGTTGATCTCTAAGAAGGTTTAGACTGTTCCAGAGTCTTGGCAAAATGCCAGCTGCCAGCCTGCTTGGCTAACTTCCCTGGGGAAAGTTTCTAAATATGTGCTTAGCCCTGTAATCATGTTGATCTGTTCTTTGCCTTCTTCAAACATCTTCCAGTCAATTCTTTGCAAGAAGAATCACTTCCTATTTGGAGCTCAGGTTGAAAATAGATTCTCTTATTGGACAAAAATAAGAAACTCTTAAGACATTTTTATTTTGGTAGCATCCATTAGATTCACTCAGGAACTTATTAAACTCAGTTAATGAGTTCCACCCCAAGGTTTCTGATCTAGTTGCTCTGGAGTGATAACTTGTGGATTTGCATTCATAATAGGTTCTCAGGTAATGCTGACATACTGGCCAAAAGACTATTCTTAGAAAACTGCTCTTTATTCAATATTATAAAACATCTGCATCCATATCTAACATTAACTTGAGGATGAATTGTTTCATTTAATAATTTCATGCTCAATATAATATAGGGAAAAGTTCCCATGTGTTACACATCTAGGACCAGTATCTACTCATTCTTATCTTCTCCAACTTTACACAGAAATTGCTATTCCTGTCAAGGTTTCAGCTTCCAAAAATGTCCACTGTCAATGAGGAGTTCCAATGCCTGTCTGCCTACCTATCAAGATTTAAACTATTACCAACTCTTAGAATCCCTCCCCTACCCCATGTACTTATTTCGGATTCTTTTTTCATAAATAAATGTCTAAAGTAATAGTTTCTTAGTCTTAAGTTTGAACATTCTATAATAGATTGAAACTCATTTTCAACTTGTCCCACACATCTAGGAGCTTCTCAATCTCCCCAAGAAACTAGTTTAATTCCAGATTGAAATAAGTGATGAGAACTCTCCAGTGGTATGCTGATAAAAGCTTAACTATGGGTATTCCAGTATAAAATAAATGAAATTGTAGCATTCTATACTGTAAACACTCACAATAATTGACTTCAAGCCACCAAACATAAAATCATCCAGTTCACACAATTCCTGACAATTTATTCCTTTGTTCTCACATGGCTATAACATATTGCTGGAACTTTCCTACTAAAAACCTTCCATAAACCAAACTAGATTTGTACTTCTTAAGATTTAATGTGAATACAAATGACCTGGAAATCTTATTTAAATGCAGATTCTGATTTAATAGATCTTGAATGGGGCCTAAGATTCTCATTTCCGACAGGCTTCTAGGTGACATTAATGTTACTGGTCAATG